AGAACTCACACATGCATACACATGCACGCAGGCACATACAGTGAATAACAGTCACTGCCGATTTGAATGAAAGTTAGATAATGCTGTTTTGGTGAAAAAAAATTCAAAAGCACACAACAAATAAACAATATCAAAATAATCAGCAACCAGAAACAACTCATGATTAAGAATGCATCGGCCTCTCACACTGAACAAACTGAAACGTTCACTTTGATTAAATGTTTCATGTCAACAGATTTCACATAACTGTATTAGGTTAGTGGAAAGCAATATTAAGCTGAACCTAATACAAATTAAACGTTAAATGATTGCTTTCAGCTCACCTAATGCAGTTATGTGAAATGTGTTGACATACAGTAATACATTTAATTAAAGTCAATGTTTCAGTTTATATTGACTGTATTAATGAAAAGACTAACAAATAAAGTAATAACTAAGAGCTGACATACAAATTAACCAACTAACTGATGTTCTAACAAACGAATTGACAAACAAACACACACACAAAGTTTGTTCAACCTGCCTTTGCCAATAAATAATATACACAGAAAGTATTTCATTCCAAGAACGAATACAAGTTTAGTTTTCCCAAATAACAAGAAGCACATTTCTCCTCTTACTATTGGTATAACTATGACATACTGTATTTTGTTTAAGATACTTGTATTTAAAAATACGAAATATATTATTCTGGATAATCCGGATATTAATGTTTTAAGTGTTAAGTAAAGGGCCCATGTCATGGCCATTTCTACTGATCATAATTCCATTGTTGAGGTCTACTAGAATAGATTTATATTGTGCAATTTTCCAAACTCACATTGGTTTCTCATACAGCATCTCTGTATAGTATGTGTATTCACTCTCTGTCCTACACGGCTTGTTGGAACTCCTGCCCCCCCCCCCCTCCTGTGAGCCCAGTGCGCTATCAGCGATACAGCGAGAACAAGCGAAACTCATCCTGAGCACACACAAACACTCACAGCCGAAGTAAAAACAATAAGTGTGGCTTGATATTGAGTAAGAAAAAGGTTTATAACGCTGTGAGAATGGGTCTGCGGAGAGCATTTCTCCGCCATCCCAACTCGTCTATTACCAGCGTTCAGGGAGCTCTATGCAAGTCAATGGGACTCCCTGTTAGTTAGCCAAGGGATCCTGGTGTGTGAGGTCCTCCGCGGATTGGTCCATTTGGGCCAATCCTGTCATTTGTTGTTGATTTGGGTGATCACATGTCACAGAACCCAGGAAGCAAACAATGGAAAATGAGAAATCTCCAACGAGGCGTTCTGGGGCAGCATAGACAGGTCTTTTCTGTGTTAGAGTTTTACTCGCTACAGGGTGTACTTTGAGGGTTTGTGACTCTGCAGACCGTTTACATGCAGAAGCTACAGAACACACAAGGGGACGGGTAATAACCGGAAAAGCATGACATGGGACCTTTAAGTAATTTTAGAATCAAAGTTTCAAGATCAGATTTGTGTGTGGCCAACAGAGCTGATCCTGAAACTGGCTGAAGTGAAAAAGTTTAAAAAAAGAGTTTGTTTGTGTTGCGGGGTGTGGAGCAGCTTTCTCTTTCATCCTCTGGTTGGTAAAAATAGAAAAACAGGAGTTCAGAAACGTTGACATTACTGAGCTGCTGGGTTGTCCTGCGCTGCAGTACGAGAGAAACTGTAGCAGTTCTAAAACCCCAAGACTTACTACCAGCAGTAGTATAGAAAATACAGCAGTAACCAAGAATCAGCATATGATTATTGTAACCTTGTGTAAGGTTAGAGTAAAACAAAGAATAGCTCCTTTCAAGCCTGCTGAATGGCTGTTGAATGTGACGCTTCACGATCATCTGATGTGGAGTTCACAGATCTCAACTTGACCACCATGTCATTATTCAAAGGTACCGCCGGATTTCCCCAAAGTATAACAAATGAAACATGAATGAATGCTTGTTTGTGTGTGAATATGATATAATATGCTGATTCTTTAGTCACAACTACACCATGCAGAAGAAGAAGACACCAGGCCAGGGGATTTAAAGAGCTTCAGCCAAAGCGAAACGATGGACAACCGTGTAGAAAACATGATGAAAGTATGATCATTCTATTAGATTCATTTCAAACCTATCCCAAATCAAATCAGGCTGAATAAGGACAGACCATACTACCGAATCAGACCCAAGTTGGAATAAACTGCAATAATCCTCATAGTAAGCACAGGAAGTCATTCAACTAAAAGTAACTGCAGGAGTCAGTCAGAGGCTAAATTGTGGGTCTGAGTCTAAACAGTCTATTAGTGCTGTCTCCTGAGGGCAGCAGGGAGGAAGTGAGGATGATGAAGGAGGATGGAGGAGCACAGACGGGTGTTCCCCATTGTTGAGCTGCTGTAGTTAGCATACCACCACCATACCACACTTTGGACCAATTTAGATATTTTGTCATTTTAGATGGAAATATATGGAAATGGAGGATTCAAATGTGTCCTGTTTTACACACGCGTCCTTTAGCTACCTTTATCAAAAATAATCAAGTGGTCTTGTTACAAAAAAATGGAGCTGGTGGAGAAGAAAAGTTGGAGGAAGACTGTACAAAAAACCCCCTCAGTTATTTAGATTTATTTCTTGTAAATGTATGTATCAGATCTTGGACATTGTAATTGTTTTCTCGAAATAACCACACAGATCTAAATGCCTATTATTTTGTATTTTTCACCGACACTGAAAAAACTGTAACGTATAGTTAATAATAATAAGTTGAACCTAATATTTTGTGTTTAAACTGATTATTATTGCTTTCAGCTAACCTAATAAAGTTATGTGAAATCGACACAATACATTTAATTAAAGTCAACGTTTCAGTGCACAATATCCGTATTGATGAGCACGACACTCACAATGAAAAAACTGAAACATTGACTTTAATTAAATGTAACATGAAAATGTCACATAACTGTATTAGGTTAGTTGAAAGCAATAATATTAGGTTTAAATCAAAAATACAATATTATTGCTTTCAACTAACTGTGAAATCTGTTGACATAATACATTTAATTGAAGTCAAGGTTTCAGTTTTTTCAGTGCAGTGACATTTAGTCTCTGCATTTAACTCAAGAGCCGTCAGTAGGTATCATACAGCGCCCAGGGAACAGTGGGGGTTGTGGTGCCTTGCTCAAGTGCACCTCGGCAGTGCCCAGGAGGTGAACTGGCACATCTCAAGGTACCGGTCCACTCTCCGTCTGTTCTGGGAACCGGCGGCCCTATGGTTCTCAAGCCAAGCCCTTTCAGATTGGGTATCAACTCACACAATCTATTTGATTAAATCAGAATTAAAACATGTCTAAATGCTACATTTAAAACTTTATAATAGTTCTAAGTTGATACACGTTTTCATTGATGTAGTTAATGCCAAAATGTCTCTCTCTGTTTTGTCCGTTCATATATTAACAAATAAACTTAAATAGGCCGGAAATCTATTCCAGACATTTTCATCAGCCATATATTTATAAATATATGATTCATTTATAATATAATGTACAGTATCTCTTCGTATTAAATGTCGACAAATACATGACAACATTATAGAGTTTTTACGTATTTATTTGATATACTGATTATAAAGCGGAAATAGATAGACCTAAATAAATAAATAACTTACACATTAAGGTAAGAACATTATAGATAGAAATATATGAAAACTATGAACTAAGAAGAAGTACACATTTTACAATTTACATATTATATTGTTATTTCCTTCTCAGTTTGATTTCATATACTTTATACTCTAAAATGTTATTATTATTATTAATAATAATATTATCATCATTATTATTATATTTTAACCAATAATGTGAATCTAAAGGGTTTCCCATGTAAAACACACGTACATTTGCATTGTAATAAAGTGGCCACAGTACCTTTCTGTTTGTCCATGTCTCTGTCTCAGTGGCTGCTGTTCTTCAGACTCATTTCCCTGCTCGAGTTCACAGCATGAAACAAAGAAGGGAAAGAGAGACAGAAAGGTTTCCTCCTCAGTGCACTCCCTCGCTCTGTTTCTGCTCTGTGTGAAGATGTTTGAGCTCTACAGACCCAGTCCTGCCTCTCAGTGACATCACGAGGGAGGAGAGAGAGGGCGGACCAACACTCACTGCTCTCTGAAAGAAGACACATCTTTCACTCTGAACAGGGCTGCCCCTGGTCAACTTGTGGCCACACGACAAGGTGTCTCATGAGGCCCCCACAAGTCGTCACTCATGTATCGCGGGGGGGGGGGGGGGAATTACTCAACATAATTGCGCCACACTTGCGCATAAGATGAGGCCCCCTCAGCAAGATGAGGCCCCACTCAGTCTGCGTGATCTGCGTGTAGGGAGGGGCGGCCCTGACTCTGAAACATCTTTAGGTTTTCATTGGCATTAGGTCTGACGGCAATTGTAATGTCTCTCCTGTGACATGTCTCCATGCTTTAATGTTCAAAAAGCTCTTTATTTTTCTCATACTGCCTGGGTTGCAGCACCTCTTTTCACCCTCTGTCTGAAACCAGAGCCCAGTCTGCTCTGATTGGTGAGCTGGCCGGCTCTGTTGTGATTGGTTAACTGCTTAAAGATGTGTCCGAAATGTCCCTCCCCGTAGCCAATTACATACAATGTGTTGGAGAGCTAGCCAATAGACGCGCAAGTGTTACATAGTGATGTCACTATGTTACGGAAGTAAACAAAGGAGTCTAATGAAGGCATTTCAGGCAGGGGGGGAGTGTGTGGGAGAGAAACTCCCTCTGGAGGGAACTTTGGGATTGTAGCCTTTGCAGACCATTTACATGCACTAAAACCTATATAACACACTACAGGAAAGGGAAAACACAAAAATAATATTACGGCCCCTTTAGGGATCTAAATACTTCTTTCACCAATGCCAACAAACGTAGATGTCAATAACACACTGTACTTAATTTTGGCTCAATCCCCATGTCACTTATGATATGATACATATTGCTTACAGAAATGTGAACTCAGTGTCCTCAAGCAAATAGAAATTGTCTTTATTGTAACTCATGTTAATCACTCACATCACCATTCATCTGTTACATCACCAGCATGATATGAAAACAACAACAACAATAATTATATATATGTACAGCAGCAGGGCGGCTTCTGACAGGCGAGTCACAATCAACGACCTCTGACCTCAGTTTGACCTCAGAGTCATAAACTTCAGAGAGTTTAGACAGTAAAACCTGAACCAGGGTGCTTCTACCTGCAAGTGCTGTTATATACATCTATTTAATTAAAGGTTAAATCAAAATGACATCATCATCATGAAATGATGCATGCAGCAGTTAGAATATCTGGTACGTTGATGGTGGCATGCCTCCACTGAAGTCGCCCTGCATGTTAAAACAGCCTAATTAAATAAGAAAAGAAAAGAAAAACAATTTGAAATGTACAACAAAAACCAAAATAATCATGAAACAATCTTTGTGTCATCATGGTGTTAGTCACAGCAACCAGCTTCCTGTTTCTAACTACACACAACCAATCAGAACAAAGCATAAATCCTCAGTGAAAAAGAAAAGTAATAAAGGAAATCATCAGCGTAAAGTGACCGATGCTCGCTCACTCCATCTCACAAATCTTCATCCAGTTTTTTTTCCCATTTTTTTTTTTTTCAACAGATACAGGAAGCGTGTGCGAGGCAGACGTGGAGGGGTGTGATGCGGGATTTTGCGGAGGTGATTCTGCCGTTTGCAGTGAGAGTGAAGAACAGTCCGTAATCCTCACACAGGTCTGAGATGCTGAAATATGATTTTTAAATGTGCTGCGAGTCTCGTTTCTCCTTTAGTAACTCACATGAATACAGAGACGATACCATGACTGTAAACACCTGAGAACTACGACACTGAATAGATGAGAGCATCTGGGTACATCCCCTCTACGCCAAGGCCATGCCCCCTTTTGGGTGACGACATTTGCTGCGATTGGCTGGCGGTAAATACAGATTTTGCGGTTTTTCACTAATGACATCAAAAAGTCCAATTACGATGGTCAGTCAGGAAAAAACGAAACAATGTCATCGGAGGTCGATGATATATTTAGTTACATTTAAATTCGGGTTCCACTGATTATGATCCCTGTCCTCTCTGTGGATGATGCCACAGATCTTTTCTTCTATCTTCCCTTTTTCTAAGTCAAATAAAAAAAAATCGGAACTCTGGATCTTTTTGTTGTTTGACGTGCATTACAAGATACAGCAGCTTCTAAGCATGATAAAACAAAAAATGTTCCACTTGATTTCATCAGAAAGTGAGCGAGGCCGTTATTTTGCCAAGCAGTGACGTAATGCTGCTCTCATCTGTATGGATATTGTAAAAATATAAAATAATAGGCTTAGAGAGCTGGTAGAGTGTGGTTATATGTGGAGAAAACTATCAGAATGTCCAAGATCTAAGTCATACATTTACGAGAAACATCCAACTTTTCTTCTCCACCAGCTCTACCACTAGATGTTTTTAAGAAAGGTAGCTATAATTAAAAGTTTTCATTTAAGATGGCCAGTAATGTATACATTTTAAAACACAATGCATCAACTCCAGATGTTACTTTCTTGTAAACGTGACCAAAGAAAGCAGAATTTTGCTGGAAACTTAAAAACATGGCCTACAGTACCATCTTTTCAACATGTCTCACACAAACCTGATCTACCTCACTGAAAGACTGGCAAGGATTTGGGATTATATATGGAGGGTGTAATGGAGCTTAAGGAACGTCTCATTTGTTTACAGTCAGTGTACCAACCTCTCTCTTTTAATTTCCTTTTCTAAAAGATTAAATGCAATACATTCCAACTTTAAAATGGTCTGTTCAGATCAATATTTCCATTTTAAATCAACAGCTGTGTTGCTGTGACATTTTGTGCTAAAGAAGACAATTTATCCATGTTTGTGAAGATCAGATATGATGCTAATGAATATATTACTTTCTAAATATATATATATATATATATATATATATATATATATATATATAATATATATATATATATATGTTTGCTTAAGAAGTGTCCATGTGTACATAATGAAGATGTTCAGTTCACTTTGAAGTTGAGGAGAAAAATGTTCTTCAGTTATTTCCCATCATGCCTCTGTCCTTTGGTTTGGGAACCTTCCCAAATGGGTCCTTCCTTCGTCTTCTCTTCGTTTCTCAACATTCATGTGTTGATATAATTCACTTTTTTACATTTTCATTTCGATTTTGAATAACAAACATGCCACTTCTCTATGTATTACTAGAAAATAGCTGCACTTCATTTGGTCACTAAGCAACACTTAATGCCTATAACCTGTTTATTGGACAAACCAGAGCCGTATAGAGACAGAGTTGCTGCCACAGCGCTCTGAGTCTCTGGTTCCTCTACACTGCAAAAAGTGAATTTTTCTATCTCTGTGTGCGTGTACTGAGGTAAAACAGGGCAGTGGCTTTTGCTGTACTAAGAACAAAAGACAAGCAGGAGACAGTTTGATCACAGCCAATGGGAGCTGAACTTTGAGAGGGAATGCTGCTCCACCCTGATATACATATCAAATATTCAAGTTTAGTAATAAAACCTTTCATAAAAGTCTGGACCATTTTTGAATCCCTGATAGACACTTTAAAATAATATGGACGACAAAGGATATGAACACCAGAACATCCCAGTAGTTTGTGTTTTTCAGTTGTGGAAGGTAACTAAGTGTAGTATAGTACGTCATACATATTTACTCATTATACTTAAAATGTACTTTACTTCACTGTATTTTCACATTATGCTCCTCTATACTTTTAACTCAACTACATGATTGTATTGCATTAGTTACTATGAAATGTGCAGATTTAGTTTATTAATAGAAATATTAATTAATTAATAAATGATGATGAAGCATCATGTAATTAAAATGAGTGCCAACTTTACAATTTTAAGATTATTCATTTATAATTATAATAAAATCATTGAAATGGGCCATACTGTAATACATAATGAGTACTTTTGGCATTTAGGTAGCATTGATGCTAATGCTTTTTGTACTTTTATTTGATTACAACTTTGAATGCAGGACTTTTACATGTACACATAAATATTTTACCCTTAATATTCTTGTAATACTTTTACTCACAGGAAATACCTGAGTACTTCTTCCAATCATGGTGTTTTTTAAAATATAAGGAATAAGGTTTAACGTTGTTTTACTGCTAAAAAGCTAATGTTAGAACGTGCTAAATCAAGATGGTAAACAATATACCTGCTTGTTAGCAATGCTGCTTCTGAGAATTGTAGGCCCAATGTTAGGTCATTGAATTAAACTAGACAGATTTGTTTTAATGTATAAAATGACATTATTATTGTAGCTGTCCTTTCTTTTAGAAGTGGGAATTTTGTATCAATTACTTAAATTGTGGTCATGTTTTTATTCAATTTCAGGTTTGTGTTTGATGTAACATTTCCTGTGCTCCTTTGTGTTTCTAACATCTTGCGACTGTGTTCAGGTGTGTTCATAATGACATATTATTTTAATAACATCTTGAAGTTGTAAGGTAAAGCACAAGGAAAACACAACTAGCTTTTCATTTCTGACCTGGACTCAGAGGAAGAAAATAATATGCCTATAACAAATCAATAAATCAGTCAAATACATATATTTAGTGGTAAGTTAATGTCCTCAGGATGTGTAGCTTACAAATCTGACTGTGATCAAAATGTCTCCTATTTTTCTTTTTTGGTGCTGGGAAAAAAATCCTGTCATTATGACATCATAGATGGCTAAGTCAATAGAAATATATAATTTTGAACTATCACTGACAGCTCTATTCATATAGATCTGTGTTGAGACCTGAATCAGAGTTTATAGGAATGTTTCTTTTTAAGCCTGACTGAAGCAAGAAGCTTGATAATAAAATATGTGCTTGTCTGATAGAAATGAAGATCTCTGTCAGATTGAATAGAAGAAGCCCCTCCGTCTCTGTTACATCCTTTCATAATACAGAGACTCCCAGAATACCACGTCTTCAAACATTTGAAACAAACTGTTGAAGCTTAGTGAGATTAGGGTTGGACAATATAATTATATAAATGTGTCTTATGTCAAAGATTTTGCTGTATAAAAAGGTTAGCAGGACATGGCAATATTCAAAATACATTAGTAAGCATTAAAGTAGCAATAGACAATAAGGAGACCATTTGATTTTGTTTCCCTATCGCATATCTATCTCCCGGGTACCATCTCCTCCAATTTAAGGCTCCAGTTATGGCACAAACTGTTGAAAGAAGCTGCTAGTATTAGATCCAGAAGTCGCTAGATGATATCAAAGTTTGTTTGCATATTATGGCCATCTTCTCGCATCATTTGCATAAAGCTTACTAGTTGTTCTGGTTGAAGCGGAGGACAGACTTACTCAGCGTCCACACGGCGGCGTGCGTTGAAGCTTGCCGGCGGGCGTGTCTGAAACTCGACCAACAACCAATCACATGAATCTCCCGCCCTGGACACACAAGCACGCGGTTTGATTGGCTAGAGCTTGTACTGGCATATGATTTGATTGGCTGGCGCTTCCGTCAAAGCTTCCTAAGTTGAACATTGCTCAACTTTTGAAGCGAGCAATGCGAGCAAAGCGAAGCGACGCTCCCACAATGCAGTTCGGCAAAGTGTGACGTCACCCCATTCAAAGTTGAAGCTTCAACGCACACCGCCGTGTGGACGGGCCGTGACAGCGGCAGCATCACAACTCAGAGAGGTTGGGGAGGGATGAAACGTTTGAAAGATTGCCTACTGCTACTTTAACATCTTGATATTTTTTTACCTGTCACATATTTTCTTTGCCAGATTAGCTTAAAACACATTTCAGTCTAACTATTTTATCCGTTAAACCTTTCTTGATGTTACTGATTAAAGATATATCATAACAAATGTAGATATTTTAATATTTAAAATGATATATATCATGATAAAGGGCTTTAAATAACGCATACTCCTAGAAGACATTCTTGCAGAGATGCTAGCTGCTGAGCTAATTTGTTAACAAGCTAGTTACTAACACACCAAGTGGTGTTAGATAGACAAAATAGCTTGCAAAGCTAACGGTAATTAGCTAGCAAAGTAGCTTGCAAAGCTATCATTAGCTAGCTAGCAAGGAAGCTCCGTAGCTTACTAGAGAAAATCGATCTTGTTACTGCAAATCACGATGCATCTTGTTCAGCGCTAACAGATTAGCAAGGAATCAATTTGCCTACAGAAGTAAATCTACAGATTGCTTTCTGAAATTCAATTCATTTTGTTCCAACATCTGCTTAAGAATGCGGAGGGGACTGGGCTTTTCATTTGTAGGTCAGACCCACTGGTGTTGGCTCTGCTCTCAGTTTGAGTATAACCTTCCAAAACTAGCATCACAACCTGCTCTGTGCTTCCACATTTAAACCTGACCTGTGCTCGCTCTGCAGTTTTGTTATTAACACATTTCCACAGACATCTAGAAGCTTATGATACAGGAATCTGCAGCTCTGCTTTAAAACAGTTCATGTGTGCAGCAGGAATCTAAAGCCACTGTGTTTTCATTCAAACCTTCACTGTGATCAAACCTGACGTCTAACTGACAGGTCTGACTGTGATGGTGGTGGTGATGGTCGTGGTGGTGGTGGTTGAAGCAGTGCTGATAATAATGAGTCTGAGTTGTTCCAGGATCCTGCAGTGATCCAGAAGAGCAGGGGCATTGTGGGAGACGCGGTCCCAGCGGCGTCAGAAGAGACAGAATTTCTTCTTAAGGTTGTTCCTCTTCCACAGAGAGAGGCGGTCGAACTCCTCGATGGTCATCCCGAAAACACTGAAGAACTCCTCCTGAGAGAGGTGTCTCTGCAGGAGAGGGACAAAGAGAGAGGCAGCGATACAGAGGGATTAGATTAGATTAGATTAGATGTATTGTCCCCAGGGGGAAATAGATTTTCACAGCACTGTACACATACACAATATACATACAATTACAACAACAATAACAGACAACAACATATAGCGGCACACATTGCAGCGACGCCTGTTATTTAAGGCACTAATGGCTGCAGGAATCAAGCTTTTTTCAAAGCGAGTCCTTTTACATTTCAATCTTCTGTACCTACTGTACACCCGGATGGCAGTGGGGCGAGGTACTGAATAAGTGGGTGTGTGATTCTATTGTTGCAATGCGTGAGATGGCCCTGTTGTTAAGTATTTTGAGGGTGGGTGCAGGGAGTCCAATTATCCAGGCATCAGTGTTGGTGATGCTAGGAGTTTGGTCCGGTTGGTGACAGTGAGCATATTGAAAAAGCAGGAGGAGCAGTACATGAGGAAGGGTGGGATAATGCTTTGGTACAGTTGTAGGAGAAGAGGGGGGGAAACGTAAAGTCCTTTGAATTTACGGATGACGGATAATCTTTGTTGCTCCTTTTGAAGATGTCGGTGGTGTGTTGGTTGGAATTAAGTTTATGTGAGAGGGGTATTCGGGGGATTTAGGCCATATGTGTGGGCTTTAACAAAAGGATGGAGTGGAAACATGGATCATCATGGGAGAGGGAACATCCAATGATTCAACGGGCTGCAAACACCATTACATTACATGTCATTTGTTAGACGCTTTTATCCAAAGCGACTTACATACATTCAGTACTGTGGACAATCCCCACAGGCGCAATTTGGGGTGAAGTGTCTTGCCCAGGGACACAATGACATGCTGACTGCAGTGGGACTCGAACTTGCTACCCCCTGATTCGAAGTCCAGCACACTACCCACTGAGCCACAGCCTCCCTGCCCAGCCACCATGAAATACTTCTCTATTTTATCCAGAAACCTGAAGGAATGAACACTGTTTACCAAGATAAGATTGTACAAGTGGCGGATATGACATGATATGATATTTAACACTTTGAAGTAAAGCTGACAGTTTTACCTCCAGCCTGGTTCTGTCAACACCGGGGGGCATTTTGCTCCGCCCTCTGTGGGTCACCACCAGCATCTCATAGGGGCAAATCTGAAAAGATCAAGCAGTCAACAAACCAACCAACCAACAAACCAACCAACCAACCAACCAACCAATCACGGCAAGACGTGAACATGTGACGATTTACCATGCTGGGAGACGTGTAACTGTCACGTTTGAAGGGACGAAATTGTGACATCTTCACGTCTCCCAGCATGGTAAATCGTCACATGTTCACGTCTTGCCGTGATACCGGGTTGCCTAAATTACTTATTTAGTTTGATTAGCATAAAAAAAACATTAGAGTGAATGATATTATAACTACAATTTTTTTAACTTTAACAACACTGGATTCTTTGCCTACTGAATTTAAATAGGATAAAAGAAAAGGTGTTTTGTGGATTATAACAGTAACAGGCACACTGTTTCCTCTGTTACATCCCATTGGGGAACGTTAGTGTCTCAACACTTCGCACAGGAAGAAGTTAGGAAGAAATGTAGTTTGGTTTGCCAAAGATACTTAGAAAAAGTAAATAGACGTTTTTTTCAGTTTGATCATTTTATATTTTGTAGAAAACGATCTAACCGAAAAGTGATAAGAAATGTAAGAACATATACAGAGAGTCTCATGCTGGCAAACATGCTACCTAGTTGAGTTTATTTACCCACTTGTCTACATTACATTTGCACATTTTAAGACCATGTGGCCGGCTTGAGCATCATCTAAAAATATGTGACTGTATTATTGTCAATGTTTGTGTTTTGGATTTGCTCTTAAATGTAGACTTGCATTCTTTCCTGCTTTGTATTTCCACTGCTGTCTAACAAAGTCAGTGCTGATACCTTATGGTCCAACATGCTGGGGAGGGACTTTCCTCTGTCCATCCTGGAGTCCCCATTCTGAAGCAAACACAGACACATGATCAGATCACCTTCAGTAACAGAAACGTCTTAATAATTACAACATATGTGCAGATTAATGAATCAGACTATACCTGAAGATCTGTAGGAAGAGAGAGAAAATTAAGAAAATATCAATTAAAAAGGCTAGCAGGTAATGTGAATAAGAAACATATAGCATAAGCTACCAAAACATGTATGATGCAGGTTGAATTAAACAAAGACTCTGAACATCTAATAACTTAATGCTGACACATGTAATAATAGAATAAATACAAATAATTAATAATATAAATCAATTTATAAATGATGATAAAGCGTTATGCAAACAAAATTAAACCAAACTTCATTTGACAAAATATAATGATAAATAAAAAAGAATATTTGGAAACATTCAATTTGATAACACTTAAAGGTGGGGTAGGTAATTTTGGAGAAACCAGCTTGAGTGCGCTAGAATTTGAAAATACACAACCGGAGAAAATCTGCCACTTCCTTACAGAGCCCCTCCTCCAACACACACGAACGCGCACATGACCAATGAGGGCACGAGATAAGTTTGTGCACAGATGGAAGGCTGACAGCCAGGTAGGCCATCCAGTTATCTGACCCGGGCCGGCTAAAATGATTGGTCGTGTATTTATTGTCAAAGCATTTAATATATTCATTGCTATCGGGATGTTAAGAGCATTCCATGGAATATAACAAAAAGTGTTTCTGAAATAAATTATATACCCCACCTTTAATTATTGTACTACTTTTTGGAAGGGCATGTAAATACACTGTATTCTAGAGCAAACAGCAGTTTATGCTAATTGTGCTGTGCTGATTTTTTCCTAAAAAACAGGTTACACAAGTGTACAAATATGATTGATCTGAGGTGTATTGATCATGTGACTTTGTACCTGCAGGAGCTTTCTCCGAGGAGCTGAACTCTGCTGACTGCAGCTGAAAACAAACAGGAACATGTTAGTCACCGTGCTCAGTACACTTTGCTGTGATTGGACGATTGTGTTCAGCAGGACTCACCCTGGACAGGCCGCTCTTAGAGGATGCTGGGAAATACACGGACTTAGAGCCGTTGGACCCTGAAGAGGGGAGGTTAATGGAATGTGTTCAATAAAGTGAGCTTAAAAACATCAAAGGCTGCTTTCAAAATATTTTGATGGCTTTAATTTTCATGTAAAACCTTTCAATTTCTGCAATACCTTTAGCAACAACATTATTTGTAATATTAGTCATTAGTAATAATGTAAAGGTTCTGACAAAACAAATACGTGGGCTCTGGGTCATTTATTTATTAACGCAATCATTTTTTTTTTAAATAGTAAAAATAAGCATTTTCTTAATAAACTACAACAGTGAAATCCTGCTTTTACATTTAAGCATGAGTAATAATAATTAAATGATATTACATATAATAGTAACTGTCACAGGGGACATTTTAAACATTTTAATAATTTAAATATATTTTCGTGACTATACTTACATACTGAATAATACTTTCAGAGCATCCAAGAACACTTTAAAATGTACACTCTTTTATGTGATGTTATTGTTTGTTTTATTTTGTATTAATCTATGTGTTTTTGTTTGATATGTTCTATCTGTTTTTATGTTTAGATGCTGTTGTTTACTTCACTTGCTCTTTGTGTATTTTTATGAGAAAGCACTTTCCAATTTTTGGAAAGGTGCTATATAAATAAAGTGTATTATTATTATTATTATTATTATTATTATTATTATTATTATTATTATTATTATTATTATTATTATTATTATTATTATTATTATTATTATTATTATTATAAAAAACTAATTTAAAATATATTTGTAATTATTTCACCACAATATATGAAGTTGTTAAATAAAATGTAAACGCTGTACACAGATACAAAATAAAAGTCAACTTTAACCCTCACCAACCTGAAAAAGTTAATAATTTTGTTGCATTAATTGAAGTAAAATGTAACTGGAACGAAGTAAAATTCAGACTTTTCTATGTTGGCTGAAGTCATCCTGACCACTAGGTGTCACCACAGCTGTTTCTTCTTCAGACTAAGGGTAATAAACTACAGAGTATTTGTGTGTACTGTATGAGTGTTGGACAATGTGAACATTACGTGCTGTACCAGTGTTTTGGCTGCTTTCGGGTAATGAGCGACTTTTCCTCCTCAGAGGAGTTGCAGACTTGTCCAGCTCCTCCTTGAGGATGATTTTTCCCAGGTTTGACTGAATCTAAAGAGAGAGACAGAAATATATCTGATAAATGAAGGGGACTGAACAAATACCACAAGGCTTTTATTTAAGTTACAGTACCAATGGCGGTTCTAGACCAATTTGACTGGGGGGGGCCTTGCTGGGGCCAGTTATTGAATGAAAGGGGCACATTTAATGCTGGACAAGTGAGACAAAGACAGCATCAACATTTCAACTTTTTCAGGTCAGTATAAAGTCATAGCGGACAAAAAAAACATAAAATACCATTATTATTTTTTTGTTTGAAAACAGAATTTGTGTCAATGACTTAGTTACAATTTTATTTTTAGTAATTAGTTCACCATTAACTTAAATGCAGTTTAGGGTAATAAATATATGACTTGTGCAGCCAAACGTTTTTATTGTATTCCTTAATATTTGTTTTAGTAACTTAGTTTCTATTTATTTAATTACATTAATGAAAAAAAAAACATTATTGTTATCTTAGGCCCAGGTTATAGCTCAGTATTGGCTGCAACACTATCACACATGTCATGCTCATATGTGTTCTTTTGAAAGGGGGGCCACATGGGGGTCCAAGCACACTGGCCCTTGTGGGCCCCTCCCCCAGAACCGCTAATGTACAGTACCTTGTTGAGTTCTTGTTTCTGAAGCGCTCTCAGTCCCCACACCTCATCATCCTCCTCCTCCTCTGCTTCCTCTCCCTGATCCTTCTTCCTCAACTCTTTCTCTAGAGGAGAGGTGATTGGTCGGATTAGTACATGAAGCATGTACAGTAAGGGTTTTAAAGCTTTAAGAGTTTTTAAATAAAAAATGTATCTTAATATATCCGGAATACAGCATGGAGTTTTCAGTGTCGTACCAATAACAGCCACGGAGGGGGGGCAGGGCCAGTACTCGGTCTCTATCTTGGAGGGCAGGTTGGGGTCCGGAGGCTGAGCTGCTGGAAACTTTGAAGACTCTATGATCAGATCCTCGATGTGTTTCCCCTGAGGGAGCTGAGAGGACACACACACTTCTGTACACACACACACACACACACACACACACACACACACACACACACACACACACACACACACACACACACACACACACAGACAGACAGACAGACAGACAGACAGACAGACAGACAGACAGACAGACAGACAGACAGACAGACAGACAGACAGACAGACAGACAGGACAGACAGACAGACAGACAGACAGACAGACAGACAGACAGACAGACAGACAGACAGACAGACAGACAGAACAGACAGACAGACAGACAGACAGACAGACAGACAGACAGACAGACAGACAGACAGACAGACAGACAGACAGACAGACAGACACACACACACACACACACAACACACAGACAGACAGACAGACAGACAGACAGACACACACACAGACAGACAGACAGACAGACAGACAGACAGACAGACAGACAGACAGACAGACAGACAGACAGACAGACAGACAGACAGACACACACACACACACACACACACACACACACACACACACACCACACACACACACACACACACACACACAGCAGGTTAAAGCTGATGATATCATCAATCATGTCTTTGGTCTGCCTCTCAGATATATTCTTACTTTATAATTAGACCCGGTATTTTAGACACATTTTTAAATATACAGTAAGTAGAAACATTTCGCTTCTTATATCCATTGTAACTTTCATAATTTGTCAGAAATGAAAGACATACTTTTGGAAATGATGCATATTAACAAACATATGATGATCTTATAATATGATGCTTTGCTGTGGATTAAACTAAAGGCGAGCAGCAAATGCAACATACACATTAATGAAGCAGTAATATTATATAATATAGTCAAACTAGTATGTTCTTGAATGCAGTACTTTTATGGTAGTGGACTATTTTACAGTCTGGTATTAGTACTTTTATTTGAGTAAAGCGTCTGCATTATTCTTCTACATCTGGCTAAAAAGCTCATAGTTAAAATCATGAAGAAATTAAAAATACATTTTCCATGTGCTGGTTTAGCTGGTATCTCTTGTTACCAGCTAAATGTGTGTCGAATAAACAAAGGTCATTTAGTTCTGACTGACTGAGTTCTGAGGGGGTCACTTTCAGTAGATTTAAATGGCAGTACCTTGTTTGTAGATTGGAGGCTTTTTATAGAGGTTGGAGCCATTATCTGAAAGAGAGACAAGAAGGAGTACAGGAAAGAGACGAGTAAGAGGAAAATAAATCAGGCCATTCTTGCAAAATGTTTGAAAAAGATCCCTTAAAGTGGACCTATCATGCTATATTTTAATAATATAGTGTAGGACCTATATAAGGCATATTTATACTTTTTTTTTTTCAAAATACCAAACAGATCATGCATTTTAGCCATACCTAATTTTGCTCAATTTGCACTTTTTTAGCCCTGTTTTTGCAAGGGCAGATTATGTGAGAACAGCACCACCTACAGGCCTGGCATATGTACTACAGCGTCTCCAGCGCTTTCGAACGGCAATGGCCGTGGCTGTCTCCTCCTGATTGGTGGAGTTGGCCCAATAGCCGTAGCGCCACCGTCCTGACGTCAGGACAGTGTTCAAATCTGGATCAGTTTTGATCAGATCCGTTTTTAGAGATTTGGGTATGGAGGAAAATAGAGAGGGTTGTGTTTTCTGACACTTGGTGAGTTCCCTGGAACACCGGGGACACATATTCATGTATAAAAGACGTACAAAGGTGCATTTTGCATGATAGGTCCCCTTTAAGTTTAAGTTTGGTTAATAAAGAATAATGCCAGCATTTGACAGTGTAAACATCAACCTGCTCGCTCTCTTTGCTGGACCTTTCTGTGAGGAAGACTCTGTTTCTGTTACGTATCGGCCCATATATGCACTGATCTTTCTGCATGAAGATGAGATCAAATGTTTTGTTTGTATCAAATGAATGATATCAAAGTCATTACCTGGCCTGTGGAAGTGCTGCAGGGCGCCCTTGGCAACAGAGGAGTGTACGGTGTGAGGCGTGTTTGGCGTGTTTGGTGTTGGTGGTGTTCGTGTGCTGTGTGTACTGCTGGTCTGGATGGTGGAACAAGGGGAGGAACATCCAGGAGACCGGTTCTCCAGCCACTCCCTGGACTCCTTCTGGAAACACAGAGGAACACAGGAGTCAGACAGATGTGTGTGTGTGTGTGTGTGTGTGTGTGTGTGTGTGTGTGTGTGTGTGTGTGTGTGTGTGTGTGTGTGTGTGTGTGTGTGTGTGTGTGTGTGTGTGTGTGTGTGTGTGTGCATGTGCGTGTGCGTGCGTGTGTCTGTGTGTGTGTGTGTGTGAGTTTCTATTTACTG